AAGGTTAATGCGGGTTTTCCTGCAGAGCAGACGGTTGACGGGTAGATGGGATTGTTGCTCGTGTTATAGGAAGGAGGAAAGGTAGAGAGTGGAAGGGAAAGGGAAATAGGCATTGCAACACACACACAGTGGCCGCTTCCCCGTAAGACGGGCCCGGGGACTGTCCTCCCGGTGAGGGCCGCTCGGTGGGTGGCGTGGAAAGCGCAGGGCCCCGCCAATGGGTGGAGCCCCGCAGGTGCTCAGCGGTCTCACCCCGTTATCCCGTCTCGTTAAGGACTCACACGTGGGGGAAACGTCCCTCGAAGTCTGCCTGAGCCCGAATCGCGCACGCGGTTTTACAGAGGGGAAACCACCGCACCATGCACGCCGTTACTCTGATGGATTTACAACTTAAAATCATCCTCGATTGTCATAAAAGCCATTTCAGAATGTTGGCTATGAGACAAATCAGTCATATAGAGGGGACTGCCCGGCGGCACCGACGCGCAGCCCCGGGCAGGTTCCCATGGGTGGCTGATCCCGCACTGGGCTCAGCTCGGTTTTCTGTTCTCTGGTGTTGCACGGAACAGCGAAGGGAGAGTGAGCTGAGGGGGACAGATCGGGCGAGAGGAACCAGACGTGGAAAAAAGGCTGATGATTAAACACCAGGTTTATGACACGGCCTGAGCTGGAGAGAAGAGTTCCAAAAAAAAAACCCCAAAAAACAAAAAAAAAAAAGAGAGAGAGAGAGAAAAGGAAAAAAAAGAAAGAAAGGAAAGGGAAAGAAAAAAAGAAAAAAAAAAAAAACAACAAAAAGAAGGCAGCAAAAGAAAGGCAAATCGAGTTTGCTCCACCCAGCTATTAACCAAAGCACAATACCTTTTTCTGGGTGGTACTGCACAGAAGTTGATTCAGTTTTGACAATGTTGTTTAGCTATCATTTGCTATTTTGAATGAATGGGAGCAATCCCCCTTTTTACAACAGTTGTTTCCTATTATGGAGAGGTGCAGCAGTTGAGGGCAGACATGTGAAAGTGGCTGTTTGATTCCCTTTTTCATCCCCCTGACCCTGCCTTTGTCCCTCCTCACCCTGGGAATGTCACGCCTCACTACTTCACTTTGAGATGCTCTAGAAAGTGGCTTTGTTATTCCCTTTTAGACATACACGAAATTGTTCTCATTCCCCCTGCTGTAAAAGATACTTCAAATTGGGACTCGGTTCACAAGTGCAATGCAATTTGGCTTAGCTCAACCTTTGTTCTGCTTGTACAAATGACCAAACAGTGCACACATTATACAGTTGATCTACTGCTCCCTTTACACCAGAGTTAGCGCCTGGGAGAAAAGCAAGTTAATCCCTTCAATACTAAGGTGGCATTTTCAATATTTCCTACAATGCCAAAAAGAGAAGAGGGGGCAGCTTGAAACGCGACATTTATTTAAAAGGGGAGATTAAAAAGAAGAACTTGGCGAGGCCTTCCCTGATGCTTCTGCAGATAAATAAATAAACAAACCCACAAATCCCAAACGTGCAGATAAACACCCAGCGGCCCCGGGAAGGGAAGTTTACCGCAAAGCCAGGCTCTCGGGGCAGTAGCGGCAAGACTCAGGCTGGAACCCGCGCTAACGCAACTCTCGGGAGCAGCGTGGAGGCGGCGGCTGAGCCCGCATCCCCGGGGGGAGGGGAGCAGGGGGGCACTCGCCGTGTCGGACCCGCGTAACCCGGGCACCCCTCGGAGCCGCCCTGGGGGGTCCCCGGCGGGTCTGGGGGGACCGCGGCGCTGCGAGGGTGGATCGACCGGCGGTGCTGGGTAGAGCGGGGGGAGAAGAGCTCACCGCACAACCGCGCACCGCACGCAGGCGGACCCCGGGCCGGGGTGCTTGGGCACCCTCCACCTGTTTCCCTCGGGCAGGGCCGCCACGGGCCCCGGTCCTGCAGCCTGAGCAGGAGGGGTCCCCGGTCTGTGGGGATCCCTCGTTCCCCGGTGCGGCCCCGGCGGGGCTGGTGCCTGGTCAGGCCATTGGCGCTGGAACCCCACAACGGGGCGGGCGAGGGCATCGCCCACCGGAGAAGGCACGAAGCAGAGACGAGGAGGCGGCGGGCGGGGGGACGGACGGACACAGACGGGCGGAGGGGCCGCTGGCGCAGGTGGGGGAGCAGACCGCAGCCAGTCCGGACAGGCGGGGGGTTAGTGCTCCTCGGGCAAGGGACGAAATCCCTTTGAAAGGGCGCTAAGTAGCTTCACGCCAAAGTGGCAGATGCGGTGAAGAATGCGGGTGGGACAGCGCTTCGCCGTTCCCAGAGCGCTTCGGGAACCGCACTGGGACCTCCAGCACCGAGAAGAGCTGGAGAGCCCAAATCTCCCGCCCGGCCCCCAAGAAGCCAAGAGAAGCAGAGCCATTACAAAAACAAAAAGAGCGAGGCTCAGCCGAGCTGCAGCAGCAACCGGCAGCCCGGGGCTGACTTCCCAAAAAGGGGGAAGCTTGCTCGGAGCCTGGCATTGTGTTTCGCAGCCTAGGAAACCTTAAGAAGCTGGTACTTCCCCCCTCCCTTCTCTTTTCTCCCAACTGGTTTGTAAATATTAACAAGGTTGTGAGCTATTCTCTCACACAGAGTGGAGTTTTTCTTTCTTTTTTTCTCCTTTTTTTTTATCCCTGGAAAACTTCTCGGCTCCCCCCAGCCCTGCTCCCACTCCTCCGCTCTGCACAGCCACACACCTGCTTGCAGCCACAAGGATTCAAAATCAATATTGCATTTGTCACTTTTCTGTCTCCTTTTCCTCTCTCAACAGCCCCGCTTGCCACTGAGGCGAATTGTGGATTTATGGAGGAAAATTAGCATAAATTATTACCAAATCTGTAAACGTGTGTGGTCCTGCTTGTGGGAAAGGGAGCTATTGCGAACCTTCCATGCAGAAAGGTGGTCCGTGATGGGCTCCATGCAAAGGCTGAATGGTTATTGCACCAAATAGATTCCATTGGGCTTGCACATTGATATAATTGACTTATGTGTATTTTATACAGTTTTCCCAACACTTCCCCTGAGCTCCTTATTTGAATTAGGCTTCAGAAAAACGTCGATTGGTTTTGTTTTTCCACACAATGGATTTAGATTCACTTGCACCCCCTCCTCCTCTCTAACGCTGGCTTTTCACAGTAAAAGGCAAAGTTACAAGTCACAATTAAACCCTATATTGCCCGGGTCCGTCATCTGTTGCGTGCTCCACACGAGGTGAGCCCGCGGGTGCCGGTTGCCAGGGTGGCTTTGCCTGTACTACCCGTGCGCTCACTCAGCCCTTCGCACTGGGAGGGGGGATAAATAAAACCAAACCCTCCAACCCGGGCTCAGTGCAGCCGTACCTCGATCGCACCCAGACAGCAAATGACAACGGAAGGCGACTTTCCTTTAACTTTACATCTTGAGAGTTCCCATTTGCGCCGGTGGCTGTTTTTTGGCTTTTTTTTTTTTCTTTCTTCGAAAAGAAAAGGTACCGGCAGAAAGAGGGGAGAAAGGATTTGTCAGCCACTGATTTTAGTCACTCCCGCGCTGTTTCTGAGCTCTGCGTTTGACAGTAGCAAATTTGGGTTAAGAGACAAAACCCGACCCAAGGGGTGTTAGACTTTGGGGGAGGTGTCCATTAAACCCAGGTTTTGGGGGGATCTCTCGGTTCAAAACCAGAAGCTCGGTGTCCTAAGGGATGCTGGGAGGAATCTCTCCTCATTTCAGAGTATTGTCTTTTCTGCCCTCTAACAAACGTCCACCGGCTCGTCACCTCTCACCATAACCCCTAAAAAGTCGGGGGCCGCCTTCCCTCCCTATCCGGGGCCGGGAACCGAGGAGGGCAGCGCCGGACTCCGAACCGCTCCAGCGGGGACACACAAGCGGCAGGTCCCCCCAAAAGGGCTCGTTAGCCTGGCAGCGAGGGGCCGCGGCCGGCTGCTCGGGTTCCGAGAAACACAGTTATTTGCCAGTTATTCTTTAAACGACATCCTGCCCCGAGAGAGAGGGATTAGATGGGACCGAGGGCAGCGGTTTGGAGCGGGTGCCGCAGTTTAACACCCACCAGCCGGAGCTGCCGTGGGGTTTATGGGGGGGGGCAGCTCCATGGGCACTGTCCCCCGAGAAGGCTGCCAGCCCCGCAGCAGCGTTCTCCCCGCCCCCCGGCTGTTTTTGCTGAATTAAGAAGGTGACATTATTCTTTTCCTCAAGTACTTCTGTTAATATTGAAAAACGTGTGCTTGCATCTCAAGCGGGCGCGCTCAGCCTCAGCAGCCATTTCAATATTAATGAAACTGTTTAATCTCCTAAATTCATCGTGTTTAAGTTACGTTTTGGTGAGTTATTGACCGGCTACGAAAATACTTTTAATGGCCTGGATGTGTATTCACCACCAAGGCTCTTCCTCCCTCCTCCCCTGTAAACCTCATATTCTGGTTTCAGGGTGACAGGATGCACCGCAGCCTCGGGAATACACATCACACACTCCCGGGTATTTAGAGCAGTGACCGGTGACACAGACCGGTCGCCCGCCCCGAGGGCAGCTCGGCCCAAGCCCACCGGGGCCGTGCCCCGGCCGCTGCCGGGGGTTCTAAGGTGAGTCCCCAGCTTTGCACCAACAGGTCCGCGGAGCTGGAGTGATGTACAGCGCCCTGGGGACAACGGAGCCCTGATCTGTTCTCTCCTCGAAAGAACCTTCGCTCGGGGAGAGCGGATTTGGCAGAGAAAGTCTCTCCTTACAGGGAGAAAGGCTCGCCTCAAGTTAGCCAACAATACAAATCAGATAACAATGCAGAACAAACAGAATACCACAGCCAAGCAATTTCCATGTCAAACATCCCACTGCTCGGCACCTCCGCTGATAAGTGTGAATTGCAGACTAAGCTTCCTGCAAAGTCCACAGTGAGGTTAGTGCATATTTCCCCCCCCCCCCCCCCCCCGCTGGCACTGGGTCCCACCGCACTGCGATTCCGCTGGCGGAGCCTTTTCACCCCTCGCCTTGTCTTCAAATGGAAATGATTCCCATTGGCCCAAGGTGTCCATGTAAATAGGTGTAAATGAAACCAGATTATGCCTTTCTCCCAGCCCCCTCCTCCCCGTTCCCCTCCCCCTGCTCCCAAGGCGATTGTCAGATGATAGCAAAGAAGTGGCACATTAATGAAGCGCCTCTACAGGGGTCTTTTCTGCTCATGTCACCACATAAAACTATCAGATGGTTAGAGGAAGGACATGGAGGCAACTACTTAGCTCACTGCGGCTGCAGAGAAGCGGACGAGCCTCTGCTACAGCCCAGCTGCCGGTGGTGTAAAAGAAGCCCGCAAAGGAGAAGGGAGGGTGTACAGGAGGACTCCCAACCCCGAGCCAGCTCGCTGTCTCCTCAGGACTAAACCGGAGCAGAGCGGCGGGGGAAGGAGAAGGAGACACGCCGAAGGAGCGGGGCGGGAAAGAGCCCGGACTCCGGCTGCGTCCCGGATGCGGACTGTCAACTTCGAGCAACTTTAAGGTGGGCATATGCGGGGCTGGCGTGGAGAGGGGTGGGGGACCGGGCGAGGGGAGGGCACCCCCTTCTCCTCTTCGCCGGGACCAGAAGGCAGAGCTACCACCCGGGTAACTTGAGGGGCGCGGGCTGCCGAGGGGAGGCCGAGAGGAGGGGGCCGGTGCTGGCAGGAGGGCACACAGAGCTTTCCGCTGCCGGCTCCGCGGAGTTAGGGTCGGTTCCCCCAGCCCCACCCTGCCCCCCAGGGGCCGAACGCCGCTGGGCCCCTTCCCCAAGCCCTTGTTCCCGCAGCGCGGCCCCACACCGCCCGCTCCCAGGCTGGGTGCAAACCTTCTCGGACTCAGCCCGCACCCGGCCCCCTCCGTGTCGCTGCCCTTCTGCAGATATCCGCGGGTCCCCCACCGAAGATGCCTCGCCCGGGCAGAAACACTTACAGCGACCAGAAGCCTCCCTACTCCTACATCTCGCTGACCGCCATGGCGATCCAGAGCTCCCCGGAGAAGATGCTGCCCCTGAGCGAGATCTACAAGTTCATCATGGACCGCTTCCCCTACTACCGGGAGAACACGCAGCGCTGGCAGAACTCCCTCCGCCACAACCTCTCCTTCAATGACTGCTTCATCAAGATCCCGCGCCGCCCCGACCAGCCGGGCAAGGGCAGCTTCTGGGCGCTGCATCCCAGCTGCGGGGACATGTTCGAGAACGGCAGCTTCCTGCGCCGCCGCAAGCGCTTCAAGGTGCTGCGCTCGGAGCAGCTGGCGCCCAGCAAGCCGTCGGACGCGGCGCAGTACCTGCAGCAGCAGGCCAAACTGCGCCTCAGCGCCCTGGCCGCCTCCGGCACCCACCTGCCCCAGATGCCCACCTACAACCTCGGCGTGTCCCAGACCTCCAGCTTCAAGCACCCCTTCGCCATCGAGAACATCATCGCCAGAGAATACAAGATGCCCGGGGGGCTCGCCTTTTCCACCATGCAGCCCATGCCGGCAGCCTACCCCCTTCCCAACCAGTTGACTACGGTGGGCAGCTCCATCGGTACGGGCTGGCCCCACATGTACAGCTCCGGCATGATCGACACCGCCACCCCCATCTCCATGGCCAGCGGCGAGTACGGCGCCTACGGCGTCCCCCTCAAGCCGCTCTGCCACGGTGGGCAGACGCTGCCGGCCATCCCCGTCCCCATCAAGCCTGCTCCGGCCGCGGTGCCGGCCCTGCCTGCCCTGCCCGCGCCCATCCCCACCATCCTCTCGAACTCGCCGCCCTCCCTCAGCCCCACGTCCTCGCAGACGGCCACCAGCCAGAGCAGCCCGGCCACCCCCAGTGAGACTCTCACCAGCCCGACGCCCGCGCTGCACTCCGTGGCCGTGCACTGACCCCGGCCGACCTCACGGACTCCGCCGCCCCTTCTCCCGGAGTTTCCTCGGATCTCTCCTCCCTCCCCTTCTCCCGCTTCTCTTCCCCTCGAGCTCAGGCAGCTCTCCCGGGCAGCTGAGGCGTTGCCGCTCGCCCGAGCTGCCCTCTCCACCTCGCCCCCGGCCGTGCCCTCTTTAGAGGCTCGGCTCCTTTCCCGGCCCTGAACTTTGGTTTCTGCTCTACTGGGGCAAAACGCACCGGCCCGGCCCCACTTCCCGCCGGTAGGAACTGCCATGGGCACCACTGGTTTTCCCAAAGTACTTCAGGCATCTCCTGTTTGCCTGGACCGGGCGAACCCGGCCTCGGCGCTGCCTCCTGGCCTTCCTTTGTCTGGCAAGAGCGGGGCTTACGGAGGACCGAGCTTTAGACGCACCAACAGCATGGAACGGCTGCAGTCTCACTGCAGGAGAGCGGCGACGTTTCCAGTCTCCGAGCAGCAAACGCTTGGGTCGTGGAAAAGCCGAGAAGTGCCCGGGGCCTTTGTGGGGTGGGGGGCCGGCTGGGCGGGAGCGCCGAGGGGGGTGCTGCGGGGCCGCAGGGAACGGGCCCAGATGGGGATCCCGGCGGTAGGTCCCCCCGGCTGTGGCGGGGCTCCTGTTCACCTGCTCCGTGCCCGTTTTGTTTACAAAGCACCTCTTCGAATGTAAATACTGAACTTGCAGCTGTCCTGCAAACCGACGAGGCCCCTTCGCGGTACCTGTTGTAATGCGGAGGTTTACGGTAGTCGTCAGATGGAAGAGAAAGAGAAGTTGCTTTGTCTGTGCACTTCCGGTTAACGGGAAGGTTTGGGGAGCTTTTTAAATTTGTTGGCTACTTATTTCATAGCTTAAAACCGAACAACAACAATGGTACCAACTGAAAACCCAAAAGCACAAACCAAACCCAACGCCAGTCACCAAGCACAACCCGGCACGGCTTAAGCAAAGCTGCTGGAGTGACCGACAACACGGCAGCAGCAGGTACAAACCGCGGGGCCACCCCGGTTGCTGCTGGGGCTTTGCAGACAGAGAGAGGGGGCTGGGGGACCTGTACATGTTTGTGCATAGGAATGGTTCTAAATCGTGTAAAATGCACTTTTGTTTGATATACTCCTTCCTAGTTTTAGGTAGTTTGCTGGAAACTGAACTGTTGTTCTGTTGTGAACTGCTTAAGAAAAAAAGAAAAAGGAAAAAAAAAAAGGAAACCCCCTCACAAACGGCATTAGTGTCTATTGGAATTGTAAAGACGTTTCTTTTTCACCTTTTTCCTGTACAGAATGAGCATGGCGTTTTAAATCTTGGTGTTCTTGTTCCCAGCATGTGTGTTTTAAGACAAAGGTTAAAAAAGTGTTTACGTTAAATTATGAACCTAGTCGTCCAAATAATATTTTCTCATTAAAATATGGAAATGCAGATTTAGTTTCTTATTTGTCTTTTCAAAGAGTTTACAAGAGGGAAGTCGAAGCATTCGTTCATGGGAATGAAGTGCCACTATCTAGATCATATGAACAGCCTTTCAGGGAGGTTACTATCAATGTCGTTATTCACATCCCAGAACACGCTGGGTAAAACTGTCGTTATCACCGGTTTACAGAAGAGGTGACACACATGAGCATGTTCTGGGGGTTCTGTACCTATAGATCTCTACATATATCCATACGCATACACGCGTTTGTGTCCTATACAATTAGACCGCATATAAACACGATCACATCTACTCCTGTGTGGATGTGTATTTATCACCTACACACCACCAGTTAAATTTTCTCTAAAAAGTATAAAATTGAGCTTCTGCAATGCAGAGCAAACATCAAAATCTACAAAGAATTAGATACTTTCAAAGACTGAGAACACTGAAATTTTGTCATCTGGGGTTTTTCTTAAAAGTGGCATCTCGAAATCTTGCTCGGGTACCGGCGAGCTCCCGCAGCCTTCTACCTGTCGTTAAACCACCTCAAGCCAGGCAGTCACTCCAACCCCTGGTATCAATGCTCTGTCTCTATCGATCCTGCTTTCCCAAAGCGGTGGGTTGCAATCTGTAACCCTCACAATTGTTCCCGGTTTTCCCTAAGCCAACAGCCAGTCCCTTTTACCAAGCCGGATTTTACAAGGATTCTGCAACCTCTGGCAATGACAGACGCGAAGGAGTGAACCCGCGTGGCGGAGGTGTGGCGCCGGGCGCGCAGGTACGGGACCTCCGGACACCTGAGGGGTCATTAGAGAGGAAAGAACGTTGTGTGGTGCAGCGGTGCTGCGGGGTCTGCCCCTACCCGAGCTCTCCGAACCCCTGAACCATGACCACGGGACATGCCCGTTTCCTCACCACGGACCAAAGCCCCGAGATTAACGCGGAGGGTGATGAATCCGGTTGCCACCTTTTTTTTTTTTTCTTTCCAGAGAACGGATCCCACACACAGAAAAAAGGTGGAAAATACATGAATCATTGGGCTGATTAAAATGCATGAAGCTGCTAAACCTTGTCAGATGGGGGACAACTGAACTCATTCATCAAGTCCAGCCCACGATTATATCAACAAGATCAGCTAAAGAAAGCATTCACAACTTATCGCCAGATCAATGGACACATAACTCGACAAACTTTTCCTAACTAAGCGATGACCCACATTTCTAGACGAGGAGGACTCTTTTCCTCCTTCCTTCCTTTTTCCCCTAGTAAAATCTAGCAGTCAGAACAAATCCTCACTGATGAAACCCGAGCTCAGTACGAAGTGAAAATGCACTTTCAGGGTCTTTTTTAAAAAGACACAGTGATCAGGGGCGATAACGATCTGAAGAGATCGTGCCCCAACGGGAAACACCTCCAAAAGGCGCACTGCCTTCCTCGATACGTAACCCGGTAGCAAGATTCGACCCGAACTTTTAAAGTGCCGTTTTCCTCTTCCTCTTTCTCTGCCCGAGCTCGGGACCTCCCGGCCTCCAGCGCGCATCCCAACGCGCTCCCCGAAGCGTTGCGCTGCTTATTTCAAACAAATCCGCGGCTCAGCGCCTCGCTCGAATTTGCTGCTCCGGCTCGTTCTGTCTCCCTGATGGCTCAAGTCCAATGTCAATACACACGGGGCTGCAGCCGGAGCCAGGGAAGCGGCGCGGGGGCTACAGCATCAGAGCGGCCGAGCCCTGCGTCGGGTTTCGGCATTTCGGAGGGCCGGGGGAATGCCTTTAAGGTTTATTTTATGCCATTAAAAGCACTCATGCACAGAGCCCGTTCCTTCTAGGCAAAAGCTCTTTCCTCCCGGAGGATGGAGCTGAGCCCGGCTGCGCGCGGTAAACCCGTGGAGCCGGGTTGCTGCGATCCCGTCAGTGATTCATGGAATGGGAATCCTTTCTCCTTGGGATATTCCTTTTTTCCTTTTCCTTTCTTTATTTTTTGAGTCTTCTCCCCCCGCTACGTGTGACAAGTTCCCCCTCCGGACTGACCCCTCTATCGAGGTGCTTGCGAGCAAAAATGGGGCTGGGGAGAGGGAAACAAAACTGAGCAGCTTCATTCCAACAGCCCCCCACCCCCCAGCGCCGAATTAGCTCGGAATCTTAATATAAATGTCACTTTGTGGATTGTGGTTTTTTGTTTTGTTTTTATTAACAAAAAGAAGCCGGGGCTGTGAAGCCTTGGAGGGGCTGTATTTGTTTTCTTTTAAACTAACAACAAATTATCTAATTAATATGTTTCAATTACAGCATGAAAAAGAGAGGCTTTGGACCGCCTGCAGTGGGTTTACAATAGCCCCAGAGCCCACTATAAGAATTTACAATAACTTCACATCTGTTTCTTTATTTGCCACTTTTCGAGTCTAAAACTCCTCTCGAAATCACTTCAAACCGTGGCCCGAGTTATGAAATATGGTCCCTCTGCCAGGGAAAAAAAAGAGGGGAAAGAAAAAAAGGACAAAACTTTGCAGCTTGAGCCTTCATTTGCAAGCTGGAAAGTGAAAGCCCCATTGAAGAGCATTAAACAAATATATTAGAATTCTGTCACTTTATGCAATTGAGTAGATCAAATAAAGGGTCCCAGGCCACTTCATTCACTCTCATTCACTTGAATAGAAAATGCAAAGAATAGCAAACCTAGACTGGGCCACCGATGTAGATTTAGCCCTTTTTTTCTAAGAGACAAAAAGGCTGAATTTTCACAAACACATTGCTGACTCGGGGACTAGGAAACCAGCACTGAAACCCCTTTGGAATTTAAATTCATTTTATCTTCCTCTCTCTTTCTGTGTCCCTTTGCGCTACAGGGCGGGTTACACTGGCTCGCTTGCTTGGAAAACATAGGATACAACACACCACCACACAAAAATAAAGGTTCCAGGTTTACCAGGCTGAGGCACGGTGCAGTTTGGAAGGTAATAGTTTGATTTACTAAGGGAAATGAGGGAACATCGTCATCCCTCAGAACCGCAGCCCCTCTGCAGGGTGCCTGGGCACAGCACTGCTGAGGGTCCTGCTAACTCCAGGTAATGTTTTGTATTTGGTTTTACTGGTTTATACCTCTTTCAAGGAAAGGAAATCAAATAAAAATAGCATGGATTGGATAAAATGGCCGGTTCTCTTTCCCTATACAGCCAAACAGGATAATTTGCTCAGTGTTTAGTAGAAATGACAAAGCTTCCACAGCCTGGTATCTGCATCAGAGACTTTCAGGCCCAAGGAATGCTACATTTTTGGAGTAAGAAAAAAGTGTGGAACTTCCACACATGTTCACTCCTGCTGTCCTTTGTGGTTTTAGCTCTGCCTTCACTCCACGCTATCTTACTTTATGTCTGATCTTATTTTGAAAAACATTCCAGTCTGTCAAATAAGCCCATATTTTTTAATGGGTCTGTCCCAGTGCCTGTTTTCATCTCTCTGTCTGATCTTAAGAATTTATGCTAACACGCACTGGATAAATTTATCCTAATTTTATCCTAACTCTCCCCTGAGCTCATGGGGGAGACTCTGGAATACACCCCAATGACATGGCAGTTCTTTCAGGTGAAGG